AACCGTGTTGCCTTCACTGTCCTGAAAGAGGTGAATAATGCTCTGCTCCTGCCTCTATCTGCCCATCACTCCTGTGCGATGTGTTCAAGGCTCCATTGAGTCGCTCAGACAAAAGAGAGCTGCTTTTGAAAGGCAGGGACAGTATAGAGGAGATTTGATAACTCATTGAAAAGCATCTTTTGCAGGTTCTTAGCGGCTGTGTGGTGAAAGGCATGCTGGGAGGTCTGACTGTATTAGTGGAGGTGGAGGTTTTTGTGTTCTGCTCAACTGGAAAAAGGACGGACAAAGAGCGGCGCTGCTAATCCCTGCTCGGCTCAAAACAAAAGAGAGCTGCTGCTTTATCACAACTACAAGGCTGAGCTCTCTGTGTGTGTGTCTGTGTGTGTGTGTGTGTGTGTGTGTAGACCTGTGCATGTGTGTTTTTGTGCAGCTGTGTTCGTTCTGTGCCAAGAAAATTATGTATTCAATATTTGATGAAGTGGCAGCCAAGCTGTTAAAACCCCAGTATTATTTTCTCGCTGCTGCTGCATCTTAATCTGGCTGTGATTTCTAAACATGTAAATCACCTTCAGTCGGAGGAAATTAGATCCGGCAGAGTAGCTTTTGCTCACTGTGAGGCAGCATGTTGTAGCTGCTGATGGATCTGATCTGTTTCCACATGTTTGTGCTCTCCTCAGTGGGGGGGGGGGGTAGATTCTCTAAATGCTGTCTAGTCTGTTTTATATGGATCATCTTCCAGATCTGCAACAAGTGTCTTCATATCTTACCTCCCCTTATCCTATCTTGTCATAGCTTTAAAGGGCCAGTGTTTAGCATCATATGCAAATGAGGTATAAACCATGAAGCATTCAGGCAGGAGAAGTTTAGATTCGCACTTAAAGTATTATCCTGCAGAACAGCACAGCTTACAGAGAAGAGAGAACATCTGATCCTTTACAACAAACACTACATGATGTTTTCAGGTTTTTACTGAAATCCTGGTCAAAATAATAATAATAATAATAATAATAATACATTACATTTATAAAGCGCTTTTCCTGGTGCTCAAATCTGGTAGTCATCCCCAAATGTGCAAGGCAAGGCAAGTTTATTTATATAGCACCTTTCAACACAAGGCAATTCAAGGTGCTTTACAAACATGAAAGACATTCAGACAAAGGCATTTAGAAAACAGTAAAAGATAATAAAAGAAACATTAAAAGAAAAAATACATGAATAAAAAAGTACATGAATAAAAAAGTACATGAATAAAAAAGTACATGAATAAAAAGTTGCAGTTTCAGATATGAATAGTTCACACAGAAGTTCCACTTTCCTGACGAACACAACGGCTCAGTTTCAATTAAAAGCAGCGACAAAAAGAAAAGTCTTCTTGCTGGATTTAAAAGTAGTCAGAGTTGCAGCGGACCTGCAGGTTTCTGGGAGTTTGTTCCAGATGTGTGTGTGTGTGTGTGTCACGTGTGGGGACTCGCCTCCCTTATGGGGACAAAATGGAGGTCCCCATAAGGGGAGTCATTAATTTTAGGGTGAAGACTTGGTCAGGGTTAGGGTTAGGCATGCGTTGGTTAGGGTTAAGGTTAGGATAAGTCTCCAGGAAATGCATGTAAGTCAATGTAATCTCCCCTGAAGTGATGTATACATGGTATGTGTGTGTGTGAGTGTGTGAGGACACTTCTTATTGTCCCTGCTGTCACGGCTGGGCGACCCCTGATCCTCCCAGGCCGTGAGAACCGGCCCCTGGTCAATGAGCTCTGGGACCCCAGGGGACCCCGGGGGCCACGGGTTGAACATCTGTTTCAGAGAGACCCCGACACACTGCTGTCACCCGAAGAGACCCTGGACGGAGAGAAAGTCTCCCCCCATGATCTGTCACTCTTAGAGGTCACCTATTATGCAAAATCCACATCTTCATGTCTCTTCTACATCAACATGTGTCCCCTCTTCTCCATGTCTCTTCTACATCAACATGTGTCCCCTCTTCTTCATGTCTCTTCTACATCAACATGTGTCCGCTCTTCTTCATGTCTCTTCTACATCAACATGTGTCCCCTCTTCTTCATGTCTCTTCTACATCAACATGTGTCCCCTCTTCTCCATGTCTCTTCTTCATCAACATGTGTCCCCTCTTCTTCATGTCTCTTCTTCATCAACATGTGTCCCCTCTTCTTCATGTCTCTTCTACATCAACATGTGTCCCCTCTTCTCCATGTCTCTTCTTCATCAACATGTGTCCCCCTCTTCTTCATGTCTCTTCTACATCAACATGTGTCCCCTCTTCTTCATGTCTCTTCTACATCAACATGTGTCCCCTCTTCTTCATGTCTCTTCTTCATCAACATGTGTCCCCTCTTCTCATGTCTCTACATCAACATGTGTCCCCTCTTCTCATGTCTCTTCTTCATCAACATGTGTCCCCTCTTCTTCATGTCTCTCTACATCAACATGTGTCCCCTCTTCTCATGTCTCTTCTTCAATCAACATGTGTCCCCTCTTCTTCATG